GGATACCCCAGGGATGCTGGGCAGTTGGCCCAGATCCCCAACTGTCCCCATGCTGTCTTCTCTCCAGCGGCTGAGATGACTTCAGGGAGAAGGACCAGTCTGTACTTCTCCCCAGCAGCGGGTATGTTCTACGAGAGAGGCAGAGGTTGGCTGGGTGAGTAATGCTTTGTTTGGGACAATTTGCTTGGGGTACTGTGTGGGTGCTGGCATTGGGGGACTGGAAGTACAGACTAACTTCGGCGTCAACCCGTTTGGGGTCTCCTCCTGTGTTAGTCCCCTGCCGAAAGGGGAGATATGTGACTGGAGTCATTTTGGGTGGGGGGCACATGGAACCCAGCTCACTATGGAGAGGTGGGGAGACCCCTGTCTCAGCTCCCCATATAAATTGATTGTTTAATGTCATGTGGTTGCATCCCATTGTTCTATTATGTGTCTGGCGTGGGAGCAAAATATTATGGAATGTATGTGTTTATGTGTATTAGCTTAGTGGGGGGGGGGGGGGTGTCTCCAGCAGCCCTCCCTCCTGATGGGACTGTCTGCTGGTGAGAAGTTTGAATACCATTGTGTCTCTTGTTACTAAATGTAGTTTGCCCCGCCATGTGTCATTATGCAGGGAGGGGGGATTGTCCCCTGAGTGTATATAACTTGTATCTGTGTTCAAATAAAGTAGTTTACCTTTGGATTATTTCAAGACTGGTGTCATCTAGTCTTGTATGGTCAGCTGTGGTGTCTGTTGTCGGTGTTCGGACGGGGAAGCGGTAGTCTAACAGAAGTACTCAAGTGCAGTCTGGGTTGGTTTCGTTAAAACTACCAAGATAGTTGTAATATCTTTTGAGAGAGGAAGATCAACCACAAATTCCATAGAAATTGACCCCATGACCTTAACGGAACAGAGAATGGTTGGAGCAACCCCAAAGGAGAAGATTGGGATGTATTATTGCGTGCACAGGTGAGGCACAAGGCCAATGTTTTTGACATTGTCCTTGTAACCAGGCCACCAAAAGAAACACGTTTTTGTCTTAGAAACCCCAAAATGCCCAACAAGTTTGGAATCAACCTGATGGCTTCAACTCAAGCAGATTCTGGCACAAAAAGATGATGCCCTTGAATCCAAAAGCCATTTTTATAAGCAAGGGTAATGTCCTTAGGAGGGTGATTGAAAAGTGGCTCACTATTATACCCCTCTTTGAGAAGATTAAAGCATGTCTTAGAACATGTAGCTACTAGGATGTTCTTTTAAGACAGGATTTTTTTTTTTAAGCATTTCTCCAATTTAATGTACAGCTGATTCTCCCTTACCTTTTGCAGCTGTACAGTTTGCTGCCTGAAAGGAGCTGCAGCAGTTGTGGAGTGGTTTCTATGCTTTGAGATAGATCATTCTGTCATGGTCTGGGTCAAACTCGGAGGCTATTGGCTGTAACAGTAGATAGGTTTATGAGTAATCAGCTGGTAATACTGTATATAAGCAGATGCCACTAAGGGATGATGCGGGCTTACCTGAGCTGCAGGGTCTAAGCACTAGCCAGTCTTCACCAGAGCTCCTGATGCTTTCAGGGGTCTGGTAACAGATGTAGCAGGTAGGGATCAAGCCTAAGCATAGTCTCTAAACAAGACAAAGGTCATAAATCATGATTGCAGGTTGAATCAAGCAGAAGCGTAGTCAGGGAACAAGTCAAAAGTCAGTAATGAGTGGTAATGAAGATACGGATGGCAATATGAGTGTAAGCAACAAGATACTGGATGGGGAAGAGCACAATAATTTTGCACACAGGAAGTGAAAAGGAGTGGCTCAAACAGGAAGTTCATGGGAGGAGCAAGGAGTTCAAAGTTCCCTAAAAACAAGATAGAAAATAAGTTTGTCCAAGGAATCAGTCAGGAAGCTTAGAGGGCTCAGCAAGAAGAGCTACTACCAGACATAGCAAAGGTCCTGGGTTTAGATCCAGGTCCTGACAGTAACACTGTTACTAGTTGACAGTTGGACTGGTGTGGCGGTGATCAGGAACACTGTTGCTGACTGCACTGGTCTGGGGACACTGGACTGGATTTAGTGTGGCAGCACGCTGATCAGGAACTGGCACTGGTGTGGTTAGCAAGGTGAAACTTGATGGTGGCTGGGTTGGCTAAAGATTCATGGATGCTGGCTGGCTGCACTGGCGATACTGTACCGGTGTGCAGGGCAGCCATCAGAAATTTTGGGGCCCCTTACACAGATTTAGGCCTGGGCATCCCAGGGCCTAACCATCAACATTCCCCAGGGCCCATCCACTGGCCATCCCACCGAGTCCCATCCCATGTCCTTCTCCATCTCCATCCCATCTCCCCTTTCTAATGTTCTCCCCTTCCATTCTCATCTGCCCCAACCCATGTCCTCTTCCACCTCCACCCAATGTTCTCTTCCTCCTCCAGTCCCATCTCCTGCATCCCATGTCCTCTTCCTCCTCCAGTCCCATCTCCTCCATCACACATCCCCTTCCTCCTGCAGTCCAATATCCTCCATCCTATGTCATCCTCCAGTTCTATTTCCTCCATCACATGTCCTCTTTCTCCTCCAGTCCCATTTCCTCCATCCCACATCCTCCTCCTCTTCTGCAGTCCCATCTCCTCCATCCCATATCCACCTCCAGTCCCATCTCTTCCATCCCATGTCCCCCTCCCCCTCCAGTCTTATATCCTCCATCCCATGTCCTCCTCCAGTCCTATCTCCTCACAGGAGGGGGGCAGTAGGACAGGTAGGGGCAGTGAGACAGGAGGGGGACAGTGTGACAAGAGGTGAGCATGAGCATTGGACAAGTGGGGATAGTTTGACAGGAGGGAGGCAGTGGCAGTGGCAAAAGGGGTCCAGTGGGACAGGTGGGGACAGTGTGACAAAAGGGGTCCAGTGTGAAAGGAGGGGGCAATGGGACATGTGGAAGTCAGTAGGACAGGAGGAGGGCAGTGAAACAGGAGGAGAGCAGTGTCAGAGGAGGGCAGCAGGATGAGAGGGGGGCAATGTTACAGGATAGGAATAGCGGGACAGAAGGGAGGTAGTATCATGGGAGGGGGGCAGTGTCACAGAAGGGGGCAGCAGGACAGGAGAGGGACATGAGGGGGGCAGTGCTAGTTTGATCACAAACATTTTGGGAAGCACCAGTGATCCCAGCCTTCACATGTCCTGCAGTGCCTCCTTCAGTTGCTGTCAGTGGAGAGGATCTTGTGCAAGGAGGGAAAGCTCAGTCTGTGTCTCATCTCCCCCAGGATCTCTGTTGGCAGCTGCAACAAAGAGCAGGGGCTCCTCCACCCTGACCTCCTCCTCTTCTTCTTCCTCCTCCATCGGACCCTCTGCCAGCACTCCCTGGCTGGAGAGTGCCTGACAGTGGGTCCCAACAGCTTCCTGCACACAACTAGGATCTGCCCACCACTCCACCCCCCCCTATTCACCCTATCAGGTCTGCTCTGGCAGCAACTGCTTGGGGCAGCTGCCTCACGTTAATGATAGCCCTGGTTATGGCCAGAGTCCTTCATGACATCTGCCCCCGCCCCCTAATGGTGGCCTTGTTGGTGTGGTTATTTGTTTGGGAACAGTCCAAATGTGAGGGAAAACAGATTGCTGACTGTAGTATGCAGCCTTCCTTTACATGCGTGATCACTTACGGCCTATAAATTGACCCTGTACTCCACTCAGTACACAGGGATCACAGAAAATACTGCTGCATGCACTGAAGAGTGCTCATGAGCAGAATAAAGTTGAGGAAGATTTAGACTAGACCCCCTCCCTCAGGAAATGGCTGGACAGCAAGTGGTTAATGTAAAAAGCAATTGACAGCAGTAGAAGGGATGTATAATGGGAAAGAAGATAGATACTATATAAAGCATATTGGAAAATAAGTATAACATAAATGGGAGTGGCGAGTAATTATCAGTGCTAACACAATTGCATTTACAGGACCAGGATCTGAACTCGGGACCTCTATTGCATCCAGCAGTAACTTTTCTCACTGTGCAGCCTGAGATGCTGGACAGCTCCCTGCCTGATCCCTTGAACAACTTTACTTTCTGTCTTGTTTCTGGTGAAGCTTGAACTCTTTGCTCCTTCCATGTACTTCCTTTTTAAGCCATGCATTTGCACTTCCTGTTTGTCAGTTTATTGTGCTCTTCTCCAGCCAAAATCTTGCTCCTTACACTTCTGCCATCCATACCTTCATTACCACTCGTTAACTACCGTATTTGCCGGTGTATAAGACGACTGGGTGTATAAGACGACCCCCTACTTTTCCTGTTAAAATATAGGGTTTGAGCTATACTCGCCGTATAAGAACTACCCCTCTTCCAACGCACACCAAATAAAAATGAAAAAACATCAGATTTGATTTCAATATGGTATGCTATTTCAGTATGGTATTCCAATAATGGGGTGCTATTCCTCCCACTGACACCAATGATGGGGCACTATTCCTCCCACTGATACCAATGATGGGGCATGATTCCTCCCACTGATACCAATGATGGGGCACTATTCCTCCCACTGATACCAATGATGGGGCATGATTCCTCCCACTGATACCAATGATGGGGCACTATTCCTCCCACTGACACCAATGATGGGGCATGATTCCTCCCACTGATACCAATGATGAGGCACTACTCCTCCCACTGATACCAATGATGGGGCACTATTCCTCCAACTGATGCCAATGATGGGGCATTATTCCTCCCACTGATGCCAATGATGAGGCACTACTCCTCCCACTGACACTAATGATGGGGCACTATTTCATCCACTGACACCAATGATGGGGCACTATTCCTCCCACTGATACCAATGATGGGGCACTATTCCTCCCACTGATGCCAATGATGGGGCACTATTCCTCCCTCTGATACCAATGATGGGACACTATTCCTCCCACTGACACCAATGATGGTGCCCCATCATTAGTGTCAGTGTGTGAGGAATAGTGTCCCATCATTAGTGTCAGTGGGAGGAATAGTGCCCCATCATTGTCAGTGGGAGGAATAGTGCCCCCATCATTGGTGTCAGTGGAAGGAATAGTGCCCCATCATTGGTGTCAGTGGGGAGGAGGAATAGTGCCCCATAGTTGGTGTCAGTGGGAGGAATAGTACTCCATCATTAGTATCAGTGGCAGGAATTGCGCCCCATCATTGGTGTCAGGGAGTAATAGCGCCCCATCATTGGTATCAGTGGGAGGAATAGCGCCCCATCATTGGTATCAGTGGAAGGAATAGTGCCCCATCATTGGTGTCAGTGGCGAGGAGGAATAGTGCCCCATCGTTGGTGTCAGTGGGGGAGGAATAGTGCCCCATCATTGGTGTCAGTGGGGGGAGGAATAGTGCCCCATCATTGGTATCAGTGGGGAGAAAAATGCCCCATCATTGGTGTCAGTGGGGGAGGAATAATGCCCCATCGTTGGTGTCAGTGGGGGAGGAACAGTGCCTCATCATTGGTGTCAGTGTGGAGGAGGAATAGTGCCCCATCGTTACGGTCAGTGGGGGAGGAACAGTGCCTCATCGTTGGTGTCAGTGGGGGAGGAACAGTGCCTCATCGTTGGTGTCAGTGGGGAGGAGGAATAGTGCCCCATCGTTACTGTCAGTGGGGGAAGAACAGTGCCTCATCATTGGTGTCAGTGGGGGAGGAACAGTGCCTCATTGTTGGTGTCAGTGTGGAGGAGGAATAGTGCCCCATCGTTACTGTCAGTGGGGGAGGAACAGTGCCTCATCGTTGCTGTTAGTGTGGAGGAGGAATAGTGCCCCATCGTTAGTGTCAGTGGGGGAGGGGAGCTGCTGCTCCTTCTTTCAGTTCGGCCGCTTGATTTTCGCGGGGCCGTTCGGCTGCGCCTCCTCGCCGGTGATTGGTCGCCTGTGTGCCTTTCCAGTGCTGGCGCTCAATCACCGGTGAGGAGGCGGAGCCGAGCGGGCGGTGGGACCATCGAGCGGCCGAACTTAAAGAAGGAGCAGCCGCGCTTCCTGGACCGGATCGTCGTGGGACCGGGACCGGAGCCAGGAAAGGTACAGCAGCCCCCTGCCCGCCCCTGTACTTAGTGTCCGTTGGAGGAGGAGGGGGGGCGGCGCCGCCCCCTCGAAAAAGTGCCGCCCTGACACCGGCTCGCCGTATACCGGCGTATAAGACGACCCCCAACTTTTCAAAAGATTTTCACGGGTTGAAAAGGCGTCTTATACGCCGGCAAATACGGTACTTTTGGCTTATTCCTCGACTAGGCTTCCGCTTGATCCCAACCTGCAACCAGGTGTTACCAACCTTTGGCTTCTACTGCTACATCTGCTACCAGATCCCGGCTTGCTTACCTCCTGGTGGGGTGATCCTGAGGACTGTGACCTGGTACTAGCATGCAGCAAAACCCATCTTCACCATCAGGAGCTCTGCTGAAGGCCAGATAGTGCTTAGACCCCACGCCTCAAATAAGCTCATGTCACCAGCCAGAGGGACTTGCTTGTGCATTATCCTGCTGATTTTTGTGTAAATCTTCACTGCAATAGCTACTGTCCTCCAATCCTAACCCCTGCTTATGACATGTATACACATTGAATAATTTGAGGCACGAGAGAATAATGTGCTGTGGAAGAGGGGTACAGGAGGAGATTAAAGAGCAATCTGAGGAGAGTGAAGAACTATCATCTTACTACAGAAAATTGACCCAGGAATATTACCTAGGGGTTAGACTGGTAGTCTCATGATCTTTCCATACATGGCCCACTACTGGCAGTGTGAGGGAATAAGAAAATGATTGAAAAGCAACCCAGAATTATGTATTAACTCAGGAAGGCAGTGTGGCATTATAGCATAAAACAGAAGGCATAAGGTTTGCAACCAAAAACATGGTAGTAAATCAACAGAGTGATTGGCGAGAGAAAACATAAAGGAAACACACAAATCATATCAGATGGATGCTAAAACAAAAATGAATAAGAAAAAGTAAAATTGTAAAACACAAAAACAATTTAATAACACGGGAATGAGCAATCATTACTCTAATTCTTTGGTCAAAGTGAACCAATGAAAAGTTTTAAAATTATCACCCATTTGGTCAAAGTGAGTGGAGCAGAGAAATTTATACTCACTAGAAATTGCGAAGGTTGCAGTTATGTCAGTAGCCCATCAATGGAAACAAAGTCTTAAAAAAAACTGAAGACTGTGGTCACTAGAAATAATTGTCCAATAACAAGTAATAATATTCGGAGTCTGATTGTTGTTGTTTCTTTGGGTCTGAGGGATAGCATTTGATAAGATGTAAACAGTGTGGAATGTTGGAACTGTTTCTGAAGATGCTCCAAAGTATGCTGCATTACTCAAGGTACTGAATCAGTTTTTTGCGTCATAGCTGAGTCACAAGTGTCATATCTGGATCCATATTTTGGTACCTTGTCCTATGAATGTAGGCATACAAAATTAAAACAGTGAGATGTGCTTGCAAATGTACTAGAGTGTTATGGTAACTTGCTTTCTTGAAAAAGCCAGTTTAATGTTAGTTGGGGTCTCATACTCAGGGCTTTTACAGCCAGAACATGACAGAACGGCATTCCGCCCCTCTCCGGCAGCCATCTGCTCTCCAGGCTGTCACGTAACACTGAAGGTGGTAGAGGAAGTTTTCTATATTACTCACTTCCTCCATCAGCTTCTGTGTGCTAGCGCCGACACCCAGGGCATGTAACCCACATCTGTCAAGATTTTTTTTTAACTACCTAATAGTACGGATCTAGCTGCACTGTTCAAATGCAACTGTGAAGAGGTGAGAAAATCGAGGAGGGAAGGGGGTAGGAAGGGGAGGCAGGGGTGGCTGTGCAGAGAGACAGAGCCATGAAGAAGTTGTGGGCATTCAGCAGAGGGAAAACTGGAGGGAACTGGACAGTGTTAAGAGAGCTGTGAGGGGAGCTGACGGTTCAGAGGTCAAAGATTGAAGGTTGCAGAGCTTGAGAGCTATGGATTGTGGGGAGCTATAGATAGGGGTGCAGAATTGAAATGGGGAGGGTGGAGAGATAATGTGTAGATGTGGGTGCAGAGGTGACATATTGACAGAGGGTACAAAAGTGAGTTGTAGACGTGGGTCACGTGTTAGGCTAAACTATGGTATATGAGGGAGAGAAAGGGGGCTTGACCTGTGGGGGGGGGGGCTGTGGACAGGGGGGAGGGTGATCTGTGGATAGGGGGGAGAGCGTGAGCTGTAAATGGGGACCGGAGGAGAGGGTGAGCTGTAGATGGGGAGAGGGCGAACTGTGGACAGGGAAGGTGAGCTATGGATGGGGAGGAAAGAATGGGGAGGAAAGACCTGTGGGCAGGAGGGAGAGGGTGACTTGTGCGGGGAGAGCAGGTGACCTGTAAAGGGGGAGGAGAGAAGGTGGCCTGTGGGCAGGGGGGAGAGGGTGATTGTGGACAGGGAGAGAAGGTGACCTGTCAACGAGGTTAAAGAAGTGTCACGTACCTGATGGGAAACTGAATTGACGAGGTCGGCCTCACTTGTGTCACTAGTCCTGACCCCGCTGAGGTTGGAACAAAGGGAGTCTAGGGACCAGGGGGATAAGAGTGCCAGTGGTTTGCTTGTGGCTCTTGCGGATGATGGCCTTGGTAGGCAGGGTATCAGTTGCTTAGAGTACTGCAGCGATTGCCCGGGCAGATTCGGTGGATTGCCAGATGCATGGCAGAGCCAGGTATGCAGCCAGGAGACAGGACTGGAGCAGAGTTGTAGGAGCCCAGGCAGGTTTGGCAGATTGCCAGATGCACGGCGGAGCCGGGTATGCAGCCAGAAGACAGGACTGGAACGGAGTTGCAGGATAGCAAGGGTCATAACAGTCGGGCAGCAGTGGTACCGAATCAGAGGGAGAAGCCAAAGTCAGGATCAGAGCCAAAGTCAGGAACGGGGACAGGAGAGTACTCAGAGTCAGGAACAAGCCGGTCAGCAACAAGAAACACGTATTGAAACAGGCAGGACACAGGGGGAAGCTGAAGACCAGTCAGCACTGAATCAGCACCAAGGTGCTCTTTAAATAGCTCGCCCAGCTCCGACAGGCGTGCCTGGGTCCTAGTGCCTGGCCGGGGCCGTCATTGGTGACAGGAGTGCCTGGGTCCTAGAGCCCGCCTTCCTGTATGCCTTGTCAGGATCCTGCACATGAGCAGATTCATGCGCTGCAGCAATCTTTTTGTTCCCTGACAAGAAGGTGGCCTGTGGATGGGGGAGAGGAGGTGACCTGTGAACAGAGGGAGAGAAGTGAGCTGTATATGGGGGAGAGAAATTGACATGTGAACAGGGGGAGAGAAGGTGACCTGTGGAAGGGGGGGAGGGAGGGTGAGCTGTGGATGGGGGAGAGGGTGACCTGTAGATGGGGGAGAGAAAGTGAGCTGTGGGAGGAGAAGGGTGACTTGTGGATGGGGAAGAGGTGAGCTGTTGATTGGGGGAGAGAAGGTGAGCTGTGTATGGGGAGGGATGATGAGCTGTGAATGGGGAGATAGAGAGGGTGACTTGTGGACATGGGGGAAGAGGGTGCCCTGTGGATGTGGGGGAAGATGGTACCCTGTGGATGGGGGGGGGGGTAGAGGGTGCCCTGTGGATGGGGGGAAGGTGAGTTGCAGATGGGGGAGGGAGACAAGGCAAGTTGCGGATGGTGGGTAAGTTGAGCTGTTGGGTGGGGGAGAAGAAGGTGAGCTTTGAATGGGAGAAGAGAATGTGAGCTGTGGATGGGGATGATGATTTTCTTCTGCACACTATGTAAGTCACACTCCTCAGCACTGCACAATATGCATTCCTGTGTTATGCACTCCTGAGTCCAGCACTCTGTGTTACACTTCCCTGAACCTTGCATTGTGTGCGAAACTTCATTCTGAGCCTTGACCACACCAATTATTTGGCATCATTTTACTTTTCTTCCCCCAGAGGAATGATGGGATTGGAGGTGGGGCTGGGGGGGGCGGGGAGTTGACTGGAGGGGGTGGGTTCCTGCACCTATTCTCTGAGAACAAAAGCTCTGCTCATACTGATATACAGTCCAAAAGATCCTTCAGTCAGGGAGTGTGTTAGGATTAGCCCTTAGGTGAAGGGAAAGTGTTTAAAGGTATCTCTGATGAGTCAAAATAAAAAAATAGACCTGTCCAAAGCAAAGTCATCTGTATAGTACCTGTCCAGTAATCTTTGTTCCCCTAATGCTATAGGAATATAAGTATATATTTTCTTATAATTTTGCATGTATAGATTAGCAAGAGTCAGTGTTACTCTGAGCCCATAACCAAATGTATAATATAGACAAAAGGAAGACCATATACTGGCCAGCTGTGTAAGTACTTCATGGTGATAGTAGGTGCAGACTAGAATGACATAGGCCCTACTTTATCTGTAAGCCAGATATCCATTGCCACAAGCAAATTACTATTTTGATATCAGAGATTAACTTCTTAATGGCCACTTATTCATCTGTGCACGTCATTAGATGTTGTATATATGTATCTATACCATGTATTCTGGGTTCTAGGAAAATGCCTATAGTGAGCAACCTTAAAAATGTAAACTCTACATTGAATGGCATGCTCAAAGCTGGTTTCCACTTCATATACTGTATGTTGTGAACCTTGACTATTTGGAACTCCTTGAAAGAATGGTAATGTGCCTTCCCTTATTCATCCCTACCACATACGGTATATGCAATTCTATTCATCAGTTTGCTACTTTTCTTGTAAAATTCAAAGTACATTAGCAAATAAACCAAATATCCTAGTCCATGCTTTAAGTGTAGTCTATTAAGATAATTATGCTGCTGCTGCTGCTAGTTTACATAAAAACACAGCTTTTGTTT